AATTTGTTTTGGGTACTTAGGAAATATAATTTTAATTTTGATTTTTGGCGTTGGAAAAAATAAGGGTTTGATAAAGTTTACAGAAACTATTCAATTAAAACATGAGAAGTTAATTTTATTTAAACAACTTTCTTTTCATTTTTGTTTAACATAAATTCAATTTTATCCTATATTATAAAGTCTACTAATATCAATAGTTAATACTTCTTATATTATTTTGATCTTAGGTTTTAAATTTAAAATAACAAAAATTGAGCTGATAACTATTTTATCAAATGAAATTCCAATTACAATATTTATATTATTAAATACCTCATATGATTATAATTTTCAAGTCTATTTAAATTTACAATAACAAATATATATTGGATTTATATAGATTGGATTGCTAATTTTCAGTTTAATAGGTCCTTTTTTGTCAATTATATTTGAGTGTTATAGTTAATGGAAAAAATTTAAACAATAAAGAACTAATATAGAGATTTAAAATAGAATATCTACTAATATTTTAACTTTAGCATACTGAATATAGGAAAAGAATTTATATGTTTGTGAATTTTATATAGTTTTTATAAATAAAATAATAATTAAAATTAAAGAATAATTTTTATTGATGAATTAAGTTAAAATTAGATATCAAAATGAGCTAAAGATGATTCAATTCATAATACTAAATACATTCTCATATTTTATCTATGTTTCAGTTATAATGATAATTATTTCTTATATTAATTTTTTAATTAATATTAATGAATAATAATTTAATCATTTTGTTTTCTTTACAAATTTGTTTAAAATATTATTTATTAACAGAATAATAAATGAATTAAATTATAATAATCTTTTCAGAAATTCTGTTGTGCTTTTGAATGGTTTGATATATTTTGCAATTCAGTATAAAAGTTGTTCAACAATTTCTTTTAAAGTATCGATTGTGATTCTTAAAATTTCTTTATGTATGAGTTATTTATTTTTCAGTTAATAAGACTTTACCTTTTAATTTTATCATAACTTTTTTGAGATTAATTAAACTTAAAAATAATTTATTGTATCAAATTTTAATCCTTTTTATTATTAAAAACACAATAAAATAATTTTTATAGGTTAATTCTGAATTCTCAATATATTAACAGAAGATAAAAACTTGCAACATAAATATACAAAAATATAATATTTGTCTTTTAATATGAATGGTGTTACTTTATAGCTATAATCTTTGCTATTAGCAAGCAGCATTAGTTCTTTTAAATGACAAAATTATCATAAAAAAATCGATGATTCATAAATTGATTGAGATTTGTACAAATAAGGCTCATAAGGAATATAACATCAAAAATATCCTCTTTGTGATCCATTTATGCTAATCAAGAGAAACAATTCAAAGGGATCTTTTGAAGGAGATGCTTAAAATATACTATATGCATATCGATTTTCTTTGGTGATCAGGTCGAAAAATGTATCAATAATTTAGTTAAAAATAATTGTAGTCTCTGATCTATTATTCATAGATAAAATTATAAATATTGGTTTTAACAAGGCCAAAACAAAAAATTAATCAATTTTTAATTAAAAAAAACAGCTTTATTAAATTAAATTCTCATATTACTTTCATTTATTTGTTTATTATTCTAATTAAGAATCTCTTAACTTAATTTAAATAGTCTATTTTTTGTTTAAATTTGGCATTTATTCTTACAAGATATCTATATGAAGTTAATATTCCTGGAAATAAAAAACCTTAAATGAACTATATTTAAAGGTTAATATAATAATATTTTCTATATATATTCATTCATAATTCCTTATATTATCTAATTTATATTTCCTTTGACTTAGAATCCCAAGTGATCAGATATTCACCGTTTTCACTTAATTAACCAAAGATATAATGATGACCAAATTGAATAGTTTACTCAATTATAAACTCTCCGTTCTCTTTTTTCCTTATTAAATTGATATTCTAACCATTTTTATTCACTAAGAGACATTTGGATTTTATATATGATTATGGAAATAGATAATCACAATTATTTGAACCAGATTTTACAGTAATTTCCTTAGTCTTAAGAAATTATTTATTACAATTATTCATCTCAAATATATGCATTTATTCTTAATATATAGGTTAGAATGTGAATTAATTATCATTTATAAAACACAATCTATATCCATATTAGTATACTTTTATCGTTTATATCACACTCCATATGCAATCCTTTTGAGAATATTCCATTACTATTATTTATGAATCACGTGAACAAGATATTAATTTATTTTACATTTAATTCAAACTTAATTGATATACTGGTTCAGTATGATTTTTAATAGTTTATTAACATAACCATCCATTTTATTTATTCCAAAATTTAATAGATAGATCACTACTGCCTGAAATAATTAGATCTTCATCATTTTTCAATAATAAAGAATTTATTTAACCAGAATGTCCTTTTAATCTTTGTTAGATAATCCATTAATTATTTTGATTAATCTACCATATTATGATTTACTTATCTTCACTTGCAGATACAAAATTATTCGATTTCTTCATAAAATTTAATGTAAACACATTTTATTAATGTTCACTTAAGACTTATATTTAATTTAATTTCCCTTATTTAAATTCAAATACTTTAATTTACTTATCACACCCTGCTAAAACAATAGAATTATCTTTATTAATAGCTATTGCAAAACAATATTATCCTTATCTAATAGTATTTTAATTCAATATTTCAAATGTAAATGGTTATAATTTTTGTTTTTGGATATTTAGATG